GGGGGGGGGGGGTCAATTACAAAAAAATAACGCCGCCCGACTCACCGAGGGAGAGGCTGGAAGTGGTCGTAGGGCATGATCTCCTTAAATCCATCGCTGCGAATAAAACCATCGAGACGGCGTCATTTCCCGAGGTCAGTGAACACATTCGTGACCTCGACTAACACGGACCCGACATCCCCCAAACCTCCTTCAAGTTGGAAACGACGTGTGCCAAGTGCCCTGAGTCGTAACCCCCCAAATTCGGCCGCTATGCCCTTCCCTTCTGGAAACATCTCTGACCCAGGCCGTCCCCGGTTCCATACGGGAAATACAAGGAAAGGGAACGCGTGACACGTATTCATCAGAGGAGGGAATTTCTCCCGATTTGGATCCACCCGTTTATCCCTTTATCATCTAAAACGGTTCCTCTGATAAACGACCCCGGTGACGGCAACACTGTCCTATAAATAGGTCTTCGGAAAGCCCGTCAAATGCGTCGGGCTCACGGAATGTCCTGTGAGCATCTGTTTTAATTAAACCAGTGACGCTTTTCAGTCTTGCTCTGTTTCCTGCTTTTCTGCGCTTTCTTTCACAGGACGTGCCCCTTGCAAAGGTCTCTGCGAGTGATTACGGGACGCGGGCAGGTCAGCGACAGGAAGCAAAGTCCACCTGCCCGCGGCCGCCGCCTCCGCCGGCTGGCAGAGACCTGGGGGTTCTGGGACTGATCCCGTGCAGTTATTTTAAGATACTGGAGCAAACGCCAGGAAACGCCCCCCCCCGGGGAATCCAAGCCAGCAGGGGCTAAATCATGCGACAGGGGAGTTCGCGCATCGCTTTCAAGCGGAGGCGTGAGCCCGTCTTACATCCCCGCGCGACAGGCCGTCTATCCTGAGTCTTATGTGAACGCGTCGGAAGTCCAAACGTGGGGAGGGGGACCCCGTTTAAACGCGAACACGGTGGGTTAAAGACGCTGGTGACTGGCAGGTGGACCAGACAGGGCACTTGGGTGGAGAGATCTTAACTATCGCAGGCGCAGGGGAGGCTCAGAGAGGCTCGTTACAAAGGGTTAAACGCACAGCACAGGGACACAGCCCACACGGCAAGAGGGCACCTGGGCCGAGGGAGCCCGTGGGCCTAATCCCCACTGACCACAGCGACCTGGGTGAACACAGGAGGCTGACCGCCCCCCTCCTTGGAAGGCGGACAGCAGACAGTGGTGCGAACCTGGAGGGACAAGGGTCCATGCCACATTCCTTCAGTTTGGGTTTGGGTTTCACGTTCTCGGGGTAGTAGTGGCAGTAATGGTCAGGAACCACCCTCTTCAGGCGCGTGTCCACACACTCAGCCGAATTAAGCTGATAACCTGACGCGGGAGGAGAGGGGTGTGAGTAGCGAGTCCGCTTTGGTTTTATTTGGCACAATCGCCGCTCCCCACACGTTACTTTTTCTCTGCGCGGAACCCCTTGGGATCTTTAAATATACACAGAGCCCGGCCGGGCGCGGCTCAGCGGTTGAGCGTCGACCTGGGATCCAGGCGATCGGGGTTGGATTCCCGGTCACGGCACAGGCCCGGGTTGTGGGCTGCCGCCGATCAATGACTCTCTCGTTACTGATGTTTCTATCTCTCTCTCTCCCTCTCCTTTCCTCTCTCTGAAATCAATAAAAGATATTTTTTAAAAAATAAAATAAATAAATAAAAAATAAATAAATATACAGAGATACCCACGTCCCTTCACGGTCCAATTAAGTCAGACACGCGGTGACTGTGTCCAGGAATCATTTTAATATATTTTTATTGATTTCAGAGAGAGGCAGGGAGAGGGGGAGAGAGAGAGAAACATCAATGATGAGAGTCAATGACCGGCTGCCTCCTGCTTCCCCCCTGCTGGGGATCGAACCCACAACCCAGGCATGTGCCCTGACGGGGAATCGAACCTCCTGGTTCATAGGTGGAGGCTCAGCCGCTGAGCCACACCAGCTGGGCAGGAATCAGTTATTTTTTTTTTTTTAATTCTCAAGTTTTTCTAAGATGCCTAAAAGACTGACACCAACTACCTGATCTGATTATAACAGTCTTAGCTTTTATAACTAAAAAGTTGCAATAAGCTCCTTTAAAAAAAAAAAAAATGCTTGGACCAGGGCCGGGGACGAGCCTGCAACCGAGGTACGTGCCCTTGACTGGAATCGAACCCCCAACCCTTCAGTCCAGAGGCTGATGTTCTAACCACTGAGCAGAACTGGCCAGGGCACTACACCCATTTTAAAGTCAGCTTCACAAACGCCGACGGGTGGCTTCTCATGAACTCCTAGCTCCACACGTTGGCGAGTGAAGTCCGAGCCTCACCTCCGCCGCAGGTCACGGTGCAGGGGAAAAAGTCGGTCTGTCTCCACTGATGGCTGATGGGCTGGTAAAAGAAGAACTGGACCACGCTGTCCTTGGCCACCGTGAACCTGGTCTGGACAGAGAGCGAGCTGCGGTCACCCCTCCACCCACAACGGGAGGGTGTGCCCTCCAGACGCCTTCCGAAACGAGGCGGAGGCACGTCCCCTACGCAGACACCCCCGCCTGCCGGGCACCCAGAGGCCCGACGTTCTACAGAGGGGACCGGCCTACCTTGAAGATGAAGTCGGCCATCAGGGGCCCGGGAATCTTAAAGGTCTGCCTCTCCGAGCTTCTCTGAAACTCAACCGTGGTGTTTTCTATGACGAAGGTGCCGGGGCTGTTAAAGCTGTGTTCCCCTTTGCTCCCCTGAAGTGTCTTTGATTCGATAACTAAAATGTAAAAAACAAAATTTGAACGAGAGAACGATCTTTTTTGAGTTGCATTATTAACACCACGTTGGTTTCCGGGGCTGCAACATGATTCGATATTTGTTTCCATCCTGAAATGATACCACAGTGAGTCTAGTTAACAAACCCGTCACCTCACATAGTTATACTTTTTCCCTTGTGGGGAGAATTTTTAAAAATATATATGTGTCTTTCTTGATTTCAGAGAGAGGAAAGGAGAGAGAGAGAGAAACATCGATGATGAGTCATGGATCGGCTGCCTCCTGCTCGCCCCCTGCTGGGGATCGAGGAGCCTGCACCCCGGGCCTGTGCCCTGACCGGGCACTGAACTCTGACCTCCTGGATCCTAGGTCGATGCTCAACCGCTGAGCCACCCCCGGCCGGGCTGGACCTATATTCTTAATCTCCCAGGTCCTGTTCCGCTCTGGAACCTGCACTTGATTATTGGTGCTCAAATAGTCTTTAACCATTTCAAACAAAGGACCCAACAGAACCCGAATTCCATTCTGTCTCAGACTCAAAAAGGGGGAAGCTGATGAAACCCAGGCAGACGGCCCGGCGTTAGGGGGCTGCAACCCACACGTGTGGGTGGTTTTCCTTTGCAAAATTTCTCTCTGCCCCTGGAAGCAGCCGCAGGAACCCGAGAGAGCTGGGCAGACGGCGTAACCGGCACCAGGAGACGTCTCTGATTATCCCTGACAGGCAGGCTGGGAGCTTTGCTGGCCGACTCGAAGGGCTGGACGTGAGCTAGTCGATCTGCAGGAGTCATTAGCGGTCCGAGAATAACGCTGGCTACTCTCAGGCACGCAGAACCCCAACCACGTTGGCCCCAGTCCCCGTGACCGCAGTCGATTTTTTTTTTTTTTTTTT